GAGTTCGAGCAAACACTCACTCGACCATAAAGTCAAAAGGCTATTTTTACTTCGAGTTCGAGAAATCATTCTCACTCGACTACAAAGCCTAAAGGCTGCAATACTTCGAGTTCGAGCAAATATTCACTCGACCATAAAGCCTAAGGGTTGTTTTTTCTTCGAGTTCGAGCAAATTCTCACTCGACTACAAAGCCCAGGGGCTGCCATTACTTCGAGTTCGAGAAATTATTCTCACTCGACTATAGAGTCTAAAGGCTGCAATACTTCGAGTTCGAGCAAATCCTCACTCAACTGCAAAAGGCCAAGGGCTACCTTATTTTGAGTTCGAGCAAATCCTCACTTAACCATAAATCCTAAGGGCTACTCTAACTCGAGTTCGAGCAACCATTCTCACTCAAGGATTATTTATCAAGCCCAAGAGCCGCCTCAGTTCGAGTTCGAACATTCACTCGGGGACCACCTATAAGAAACGGTCAAGCATGGTACTTTCTACCGGTCCTTACTATCTCAGTCTTGGATCTTCAAACAATTATTCCATGGTAAGGCACTTTTTGACCTTTGTATAAATTAACAAAAAAAAAGGGCAAAAGATTCAGAAGCTACAAAAGGAAAAAAGTTTTATATACATGTCAAAAATCATTTACAAGGGGCAGCACGACCCGATTAAATTTCTCTATAAAATACCAGAACGATCTTATAAGAAGCACAAAAAATACTAAAGGACTTAGTCCTCTCCGGGAGCAGCATCTTTGTCCTCGAGGCCCCCTTCACTTTCAAGTCCGCTCGTACTCCACGTATCATCATCATCGGTAAAAGCCAACACTATGGTTTAAGCTTTAAGCTCCTTAGCTTTTTCGATCTCGGCTATAAGATCGAAGCCACGAGCATGAATCTCTTCGAGAGTCTCCCTTCGAGATTGGCATATAGCATGCTCGGCAACCCAGTTTGCTCGAGCCTGAGCAACTTTAGCAACCTCCTTTGCTCAGACTTGATCAGCTTCAGCATCGGACCGGCAGACGGCCACCATTGCATCAGCATTAACAGTGGCTATCTCGACCTCCGATTTGGCTGCTGCAAGTTCTGTGGTCAGTCTCTCTCGATCAGAAAAATTGCTAAGCCTAACCGAGACTAGAACTCCTCGACTTTCTTGTCCTGCATCGAGGTTTTCCCTTTCAAACTTCGGAGTTGGGTCTCAGCCGACAGCTGTTTAGCTCGGGCGGCCTCCTTTTCTGAGGCAAGAAGATCCGTGTTCTTTTTCCACTCTTCAGCCTCCGCCCTCACTACGTCTACTTCAACATGAAGTTGCCTGATCACGTCAAAATTTTGCTGGATCTGTGGAACCGAACTGTTTGCCATCACACCCGAGGTAGTGTCATTAACTTCAAAGATTTTTTTTTTCCTGTCACGACTCAATTTCATCATAGGCCGTGAGGGCACCCAATACCGTTGTTAGGCAAACCAACACTGATAAATCTAGTGGTTTCCACTTTTAATATGTTTGCATAGTAATAATTTTCCGCATTTATAAAAGATTTTGAAATTTACTGTTGTAAAGTAATTAAACAAAAGCAACTGAGTGCAAATCGAAGTCATAATAATAAATCCAAAATCATAAGTCTACTAGTGTGTGCCAAGACCTGGTGTCACAAGTATGTGGGCTACTAGCAGAATATACAAAAGAATACTAGTCTACTGTCTTAAGGAAATAGACAGAAATATATATCCAAAAGAGAGACTCCGGCTGCTGCTGAACGGCTCGGAAGGGCAGCTCACCGAGTAGTCTCTAGCTAGAAGTCAAACGTGCGTGTCGGAGTGGTAACCAAATGCACCTACCTAAGATCCTGCACATCAAGGGCAGAAGTGTAGCATGAGTACGTAAATAACGTGTACCTAGTAAGTATCTAGGCTAACCACGGATGGGTCGCAAATGCGATCAGTGCTGAGTTCACAAATGCGGCATAGGTGTGGCAAATGCAAAAACTCCCGAGGCTGAGCTTCTTCGCAATTTCAAAGCTCTTCTCGCAAATGCGAAGTAAGCATTTGCGAACTATATCTCGCATTTCCGAGACCTGCAACTGGTGCCAAGAAACACCAGAAATCTGGTGTGTTTTTCATCCCTTCCGCACGTCCGAAACTCACTCGAGCCCTCAGGGCTCCATACCAAACACCCATACCTGTCTAAAAACATCATACAAACTTGCTCACATGATCTAAACACTGAAATAACATTAAAAACCACGAATCGGATGCCAAAACGCATGAATTAACTCATGAACTCAAAATATCTAAAAAGACTTCCGCTCGTCCGATTCCTATCAAATCAAATCGGAATGACACCAAATTTTGCGTGCAAGTCTTAAATGACATTACGGAACTATTCCCAGTCTCGGAATTCCGTTTGGACATCGATATCACCAAAACCCGTTTCAAACCAAATTTTAAAGAGCTTCAAGAACCAACTTTTGATATTAGCGCCGAAACACTCCCGGGTCATCCAAAACCTGAACCGAGCATATGTACAGGTCCGAAATTATCATACGAACCTATTGGAACTGCCAAATCTCGATTCTGAGGTCATTTACTCAAAATGTTGATCGAAGTCAAACTTGGCCTTTTACGCTAACTTTAAGGAACTAAGTGTTTCGATTTCAACCCGAACCCTTCCAAATCCCGAACTAACCATCCCCGCAAGTCATAAAACAGTAAAAGCATGTACGGGAAGTCTTATTTAGGGGAATGGGATTCTAGAAAGCAAAATAACCGGTCGGGTCGTTACATTCTCCACCTCCTCAACTGGTTGGAACCTCCACTGAACCTTTACCGCGGAAATCCTCTCAGATCTCAACTGGCGATCCTGCCTATCAACTATGGAAACTGGCTCCTCTTCGTAACCCAGACTCTCATCTATGGTACTTCTTGCAAAAATCGATGATGATCAGATCGAGGGGACCCAACGTAAAAGGGTAAGTGTAAACACTAAGGTACCCTTCCACATGAGTAGTAATAGCCTCCTCCAGTGCTGGTATCACAACCTCTTTATTTTTCCAATGGCAGTCCTTTTTCACCAGATCAAGAAGGTTTTTTGGTATCGAGCATATATATCTCGATACCGGTTCACATCGACCAGCAACCGATGAGGGTTTCTCGACCTTAAAATCGGAATCAATAACACACACCCCAGGAACAAGTTCTTCAAGGCGTGGCTCCACCACTGTTTTCTCGCCGGCCGGATGAGATGAGGAAGCAGCCTCTTTCTGCGGAATAGTTTTAGATATTTTTGCCATCTAAATTTTTGTGAACAAAGAAGAAGGGAGAGTAAGGTATTTGGTATTTTTAGAAGAACATGCAAAGAAATTTCAAAACCTGGGAATAGAGAGCTTTGGGGAAGACGAAGAACTGTGAAGATTGGAATAAGAAGAGATTTGAAGGTAAAAGTTTGAAATGACGAAGAAGGGGGCTATTTATATATTTTACAGTGACGGTTCAAAACTGGTAGTGGCCGACCATCGACTGACGTGCATTTAATGCCTTGAAAACTGGACCGACAAGACATTTTTCACATACGTCACAATCGGGCTCGACGCAGACGGCAATATGTATCTAGTCAGAGGTTGAAAAATCATATCGTTTTTCACCACCTTCTTTCCAAGAAACGAGGGGACTATCTGTATACGATCAAAATCAAGTTTGCCCTCCGTATAATAAGTCAAGATGGGATCATGATGGACCAAGGGTCGTCATTATAATTTCAAGCTGTGATGTGAAGTTGAGTTATCGATCTCAAGATCCAGGGACCGATCAATACCGAGCTCGAGTCAATATCGAGATCGATACCCAGAGACCAATTAATATCAAGCTCGAATCAATATCGAGCTCGAGTCCATATCGAGCTGGAGACCCAGAGACCGACCAATACAGAGACCAACCAATACCGAGATCGAGCCAAGAGACAAAGAGTCATTGTAGCCGCACTAGGGAAGAGAATCTCGGCGGAAGTAAAAAAAAAAAGCTAATTAACTAATCTATCATGAGATCCCCACTATGTATTTTTAATTATATCCAAAGTAGGGTTCCTCCACTATATGAAGAGTGGCTATCATTTGTGAGAGACACATTGAAATACATTGAGACACCCTCACATCCAAAGATTATTGAGATTTACATACATATAGCAAATATTATCCCATTTTGGGCTTTGGACATTGATTCAAATTGTTCATTTATCAACCATTCTTTACTCAAATTGGTTTGGTATTCATTCCTTTTTACAGTTAATATTCGATATATTTTTACTTATCTTTTCAATTCGTGTCAAGTTATACCAGGTATTCTTAGAACTACGCATAAATTCAACTCTATCCGTTTTTCGGAGAAATAATAGTTTAACTTGACACAAAATTCTTAAGGAAAAAAGAAGACTTTTAAAATTTGTGGTGTTAAAAATATCATAGTATTTGTATGGTTATAATTAGACATTTGAAACTTATGGTCTTAAAATTGAGTAACATTTGTATGGATAGACAAACTTCTCATTAAGAGTAAAAATAAATAATTTAAAATTAAATTATTTTTAAATATAAAAGTCTATCATTTGAAATGGATTAATAAGGAAAGTCTGTCACGTTATTGCACCTCAAGGAGTATATGTATAAAAAGTTGTTTTTCTTTTGTAAAATTTTGTATTGTGCAAACACCTCTATATCAAATAGTGATGAAACTGAGCAAAGACGGAGCCACGATTTCAATGTACTTGGATCTCGATTTTAGAACAACGAATTCAAATACAAATAACTGAATTTTAAATGTAAAATTTGCTCATATTTAAACAAAGCTATTAAGTTCGGCCGAACTCGTATTCGGAGTGTGACATTGCATTTTGGAGTCTATCCTGTCATCTAATTAATACCTGCAATCTGTTACAAGTAGAGGATGCATTCGGTACCCATAGTAGACACTATATACGGGGGACCGAGTGACAAAGAGAGCAAACCAACTTTGTCACGGCGCCGGAAACGAACTCTTTAATTTACTCTTCACTTTTGCATATAAATATGTCGTCTCAATATCATCCTATTATCCTCATCCTTCAATAAACATTAAAAAACCTCTGTTTCTTCTTTAGCATCAATTACACTAGCTAAATGATGAGTTGCTTCCAAAAATGGCCTGAGCCAATTGTCCGAGTTCAATCATTGTCCGAAAGCGGCATCCGAAAAATCCCCGATCTTTTCGTGAAGCCGCCTTCGGACAGGCCGTATGTCACGGAGTTAACAGAGCCAACCTCCGTTAACGTTCCGTTGATAAACCTCGAAAACCTTAATTCTTCAAACGATTTTGTCCGTCAGGAAACACTTGACCTCATTTCACACGCTTGTCGTGAGTGGGGTTTCTTTCAAGTTGTTAACCATGGAGTTAGCAACAAACTGATGGAAAATACTCTTGCTGTTTGGCGCGAGTTTTTCCACCTTCCGTTAGAGGAGAAGCAAAAATTTGCGAATTCTCCTATAACTTATGAAGGATACGGTAGCCGTATTGGGATGGAGGTAGGTGCTAAATTGGATTGGTGTGATTATTTCTTCCTTCATTATCTTCCTGAAGCGTTGAGGGACGAGAACAAATGGCCTTCACTTCCAGTTTCATGCAGGTAAAATTTATTGTTATACATGTTTAGTTTACTTTTGATTAGTGCAAGTAATTTTTATATCATTAGGTCATCTTTATTTACTGTAGGACAATCTGTCTTATTTTAATATTACAACTCTTAGATATAAGGAGACTACGGGTGTGTTTGGCCTGAAACGGAAAATATTTTCTAATTTTTTCATGTTTGAAAATATTTTTTTTATCAAAAGAATGAAAAAAAATTCCAAACTCTTTTTCAACCTTCCCCGCCCTATTAATTCCCCATTCTCACC